TTCAAACAGCAAAAGAGAGATCACCTTCAAATCAGTGAAACACAAAATATGCTTTCTTTGTACCTATTTATCATTGGCCTATTCATCACTTTTTTCGTTAAAGCTATTGTGATTTATTGAATTAAAAAAAAAAGATTTTCGAGGAAGGCAATTCACTTGGAATTGGAATTTAAAAATTGGATGCGCTGCAAATGAGTTAATTCTGAAAATGTCATAGTTGTTGGCACTAATCAAAGATCAAATGAATCGGTTAGAATATTCGTGAGCCCAAGTTTGTTAAAGTAAAAGAGTAAATGTTCATATAAAAAATGTATGGGCACGTTGCAGTTTTATTTTGACAAATTTTTTGGGATTACGAATATTCTAGCCGTTTCAAATTAAATGAATCTTTCATTCAAATAAAACCTGTCGTTCGTTAAACGAGTTTTATTACGTTAAACACATTCAAATGATGGAATTCTCAAGTTGGGAATCTCAACGAACTCAATAAAGATTCAAAGCGAATGAAAAATGCTTACAACTATAATTCCACTAACCAGTGAAAAGATACTGGAAATTTCAATTTTCCTCTAATGACGGAATTCCCAGAAATCTTTGATAGAAAATATATTTAAGAGCTGAGAAGCGGAAATTGACGACATTTTAAATTTAAATTGAAAAATGGAATGAGTGTGAAGGATGTTTTTAAAAAGTTCTTACATACAATTGATTTTCATTGAGTGGCAGTATAACATTTCATATGAAAATATGATACATGAAACAATGTGTTACAAACAACAGTACACAAATTTTCTACGAAAGCGTAAAATTATTATATCTTTATGAGCTACTTTGACTGACAGATCTGCATATAGATTTTATGGCGTGTTATGAAATTTTTGCTTTTCAATAAAAACACCAAAAAAAATGCCAGCACCCAACTGGTCGGTCTCTGTGTTTGCAAGATAGTTTCAAAAATGACGTAGGAGCAGTATTCTTTAAAATTCTGTTCTTCCATAAAAAATGTTTTTTTTTTTTTTTTTTATTTTAGTCTTTATAATTTAACGGATTCAATTTTAATTACATAAAATTTTGGACGCCATCAAATTAAAAAAAAGAAAAATATGTTTTTTGTATAATAATTGGGATCAATTGAAGTGATTTTTTAATTGTTTGAAATGCGTTTAAGTTTTGTTCAACGCAAAATTACAAATTGTTAAAAAAAGGTATTCTTGTTCAATCAGCGATACTGAATAATCACAAATGAATAAGTGTTTTCAGAAAATGCTTGAATAATCGTAGAAATCGTGAAATCGAGACATAACAATATATTGATTGAATGTGCTGAGTGTGTTTAAAATTCCATGATTGAACGAGAGAATTTTCATCGATATGTTCTACATTCTATTGTGACTTTGTGCAACACACAATGTGCTCTACTTCACACTCGAAACTTATTTCCTTTGCAAACCTCATTCAACGGCCCAGTTTCACTCTTTGGCGTTACATCGCATGATAGGCTGAACAAATAAAAAAAATCTGTTGCTTTACTCTGATTTTCTCTCGTTAAAACTCAGCCATTCATTTGAATCCGCATTTTTTTCTCTTTTATAGATAAACCGAACGAAATGGAATTATCGAAAGTGAGAGAGAAGCTCTGCGCATTCACACTCCAATTTATTTATTCAACAATGGCTTTTGTACACTTTTTTTTTGAATTAAATTAAAATCCATTTGCAATGCAAATGAACGCATTCGCGCAGTAATTTTGATTGCACAATGAGGACATAAGTGCTTTTTGGTGAGTTGCAAATCGAACACACACACTGCCAACGAACAAAAAAATCGCCATTCGCATATACCGTTGCTTTCATAGTTTGTGGATGAGAATAAATTGTGTAAAATCCTACAAATGAATTGATAATAATAATAAATTCTAATGTAAATCGCTCAAAGTGGTAAAGCCCCCGAAGGAGAGATAAGTCAAATGTCCTTGATTTTCATTTTGATGGTTACCATGGACCCATTGGAATCACTTGAGATAAAATCATTTTTGCCTTTGGCATATTTATTTTCGCTGATGCGAAAAAGTTCGTTTATTTAATTGGAATCCATTTAGCTTCAATTCAAAGGTTGTTCGATTCTGTGAAAAGGAAACAAAATGCAAAAATATTTGTGTTTCGTTGTGTTGATTTTATTGGTTGAAAGAAGTTACATAGCCAAAGCTTCTGCAACTATAAATGAATTTGCTTGAAGTTCAAATGCGCTATGAATGAGAGAATTCAATTTGTATCTTCGTGTGTGGCACAAATGGCCTTTCGTCAAACAAATTCATCCACGTTTATTGCTTTGCCAAACTCAATTTTCCGATCTTGCTCGTTAACTTTGAAATTCATTCGCTTTCGCCAAACTCACAACGTCATTGTATGGTGTATGGTGTGTGCGCTTGGTCAATCTCTTCGACATAGTTATGCGGTTTTCAAAACAACATATGTTTTGAAGTGCATTTGCACAGACATTTGTCCATCTTTAAGCTCCCCTTTTTGTTTTGTTATTTGTTGGATTTTTGTTTCGTGCTCAATGCTTCCTCTTTCAGCTACCGTCTCGCTCTCTTTACTCGCTAACTACACACAATTCGAAATGTGGTGGCAGACATGTATTCGATTTGAATGTATGAAAAGCTCTATGATTGCACGCCGCACACACATCGATTGGATATGGTGCCGATGTTTTTGTCCCACTGCTTTTTGGTTTTTTACTCAGTTGCAATGGTGTTCCAACATCGGATACGTAACCACGTTTCATAACGTTCAGATGTTTGGTTTGAGATTTTGATGTATACTGAAATCGTGATGATGATTTGTAAATATTTAAACATTTGAGCTTAATTTCAGTGTATTCAGTTTCAATTTCAGTATGTTCCGGATGTTTCATTACTCTGAATCAACAAACAGTAGCACTCTCTCGTCTGGGCTGGTATTCTACGACAATTCCACAAGAATCGTTGGGAATTATTATTTATATAAACAACTCAGCTCAGTGAAAACAATAGGTGTTATTGTTATTATTATATTAACACTTACATTACTTCAATCAATATAACAATCATTTCTATTGGTTTCAGTCCGTTTCAGTGCCTGGCGGTAGCTGACACTTCGAGTGTGTGACAATTTTTTAAATCTTTTTAACGATTGGCGACATGATTACAATCGTTGCTTAGGAAAATGCACATTAACGCCTTTTATTCTCGCTATGTGCTGCAATGTTTATTAAAAACAATATTCATTCATAGAAATAAATTTTTCGGAATAATTCCGAATAAATTGATCGGAAAAGTGTATCAGAATACCGGCCCTGTTTTCTTCTTTTCTTTCACTCTCTCTCTCTCTGCCTATAAATTTATTTTCTGCATATTGCCTTCATCACGTGCTTAAAAATGGTTTTCTATTTATTTTCATGAATAAATTACATCTTGTTAGCCAAACTGGATGAGTGAACGTGTGCATTGGCTTGACATACTATGGTCTATTCAATACAAATTGCTGTATGAATATTCGAATGATGTAATTGTTTTGAGTGGGTATTATTAGTCATATCAAATGCTGTATGTATATGTGTGCATTTGAATGTTTTCGTTTACGAAAATTCGGTTTTACGATGATTCGCCATTCAAATGAATGGAAATCAATACGATAAATTGGATTGAAAATGTTTGCTTTTAATTAATCAATCTAATGAGTTCAACAAGCGAAAGGTTATTATCGCAGCAAATTCGAATCGACTATAAAATGAAATTTATGTAGAAGCTCTATAACTCATCGTTTGATCGAACAAGTAATGGCGTTTGTTCGGTGTACATGACAATGTGGTTTGACTTGGTTTCAAACAAAAAATGATGGTTTTGTCATTACACTGATGATCAATGTGCAAATGGTATAATCGAATCAGTGTGGATGTTTTGCTCTTTTTTTCGAAGCAGCAAATTGCCAGCTGAACATTTGCCAATTATTAAGAATTTAAAACAAAAGCCACCGAAACATATCGGGCACGTTTCACACAAAATTTCAAAAACAAAAAAAAAACATGAACAAAATACAATGATACACCACCACACCAGAATTCTGTAACACAATGGCATTCTTGCCAATTTCTGGCAACGATTTACAAATGTTTATTATTATATTGTGTGTGTGCTCCATTTAGCTTTTAAAATATCGTAAACATTTATCTATAAATAAATTCAGGCCGCGAGTGAGAGGAAAGGGGTACGCAAGAGAGAGAGAGAGAGAGAGAGAGAGAGAGAGAGAGAGAATATGAATGGAACGCAGTGAAATTGGATTTATGCATTCGCCAGCCACACACTGCCACATCGCACAAGTTCAAAAACATTTCGTGAAATTTTCAACACAATGGCGGAACAGTTGACGCCTCTGGGTTTATTTGTAAAAGCTGTCTTTCTGCATAAATTCCAATAAATCTACAGCATTTACTTTATATTTTACATTTACTGGGTTTGTGTGTGCCATGGCACATTGACATCAATTCGCAGTGTTATTGTTTGCATTTCAGAAAAAAGACAGCGTGCGTTCACTCAGAGAGATTTACAGAGAACTTCTTTGTGTATCTATCTCTCTCCTTCTTGTCTGTCAGTCGGTCGACTAAATCTTATTTCATTTCTGGTTTCATAAATAAATACGTTTTTGTGTTATTTCTCAATGGAATTCACTTCACTTTTTTATCGATTATGATTTGTGTCAAGCGAATCTTCAATACAATAGAAATTTCGAGCCACTTGAATGACCCGATTTACAGACAAACGAACATCGATGTACCACCATTTGAACAAAAATCGACAAAAATGAGTGAGAGAAAGGGCGAGAGGGCAAAATCGAAAGAGAGCAGAAGGGGGTGAAATCGAATCAGAGATTCAATAATGAATATTTGATGCCAAAATAATGGCAACACAAAAGAAAATAATCGCTTACAAACGATGCAAAAACAAAATACCAAGAGATACTTACTGTTTTACCGTTTAAATCATTTACTCGACAATGTAAATACACGCTATTTCCTAAATGTGTTGTAACATTGACACTACCGTTGGGTTCATCGAAATATGGGAATGGTTCGTGTGTTGTTGTCTCTTCGCCGTCTTCGATTTCATTCTCTTCGGGCGTATCGGTAAATGGTGATGAAAATTCTTGCCAAAAATTTTTTGGAAACGAATCAAACGGATCTCCCTCGCGCGGCTTAACAACTGCACCAGCAACATTGACGTTCCAAATGGAATCCATGAAAACGCGTGAGAGAAAAAGAGAGTGAAATAGAACATAATGGAAAATGGTTAGTACTTGGTATATCAAAACCAGACACACAACCAAAAAACAAAATGAAGCAGATAAAATGTGAATTATGCGAAAATAAAATTGTTTCAAATATAAAACCGGGAGTTTTTCCCCATAGTAACATATACAAATCGAAAGTCGAAAATCTGACTTTTTTTTCTCGGCTGTGTGAATTAGGTTTTATGTTAAGGATATAATCACTTCGCAGCAAAACGCTGAACAGTGAAAGCATCTGTGCGTTTTTTTTATTTTGAGTACGGCTATCGTGACGTGTTATTTCAGCTAATGGATTTTTGGTTTTACCAATTGGTTTCCATTTTTTTCGTTGTTGTTGTTGTATCCATATCATATATATCTTCTTAAAATAAAAATTTATGTGCAATTTAACAGTTTTTGTTCCTCTAGAACGTTTGGCTTTTTGTAGATGATAAAGAAAAAAAAAATGTTGTGGCTGTAAACTGTTGGTTTTTCCTTCTCTTTGTGAGGTGGTGCAAACACTTTGTAGAGCGTCAAAGTGAAATAAGCAGTCTGAATAGTTACCGCGAATTAGCTCAATCATCGTGTAGTTAGACGAAATCTGAGTAAAAGCTGTGCACATTTATCGCATTTTACATGCATCTTGTGTCTGAGTGGATTACCACATTTTCTCCGAGCCAAATGGGGTCACACTCAAAAACCAGCAAACATTTCAATATTCTAATTAACGACATACAAATTAGAATGTGTTTTAAGTGCGCGCCTTTTTAAAATTCAACTCAGAAATAATGAGTGGGCAGACAAGTTTGTCGCTTGAGCCGCCGATTCTGTTCACAATGCGACTATTTTTTACAACTTTCGTTACATATTCACATTACAACAGTGCAGTCGAGGCGCTTTGCCAACGAATAGTTAAGGGAAACGCCTAACAAAGGATCGACAAACGACGTGAAACGAATGGGGCTCGAGTGATTTTAATGAGATTCTGCTGCGGTTGAAATAACTTTTTTCCGTTCTCTACTTCAGTGCACTACACACTACATAATGCGCGCATATCGCACCAAATTCTCAACAAATAGACGAAGATGCTCATATAAAGTGCCCGGATTTTTTTTTGTGCGAGCCAAACATGAAAATGAAAGCAAATCTAATTAAATTCGAAATGCGAAATAGAAACACGATCTTTGCATTTTCCGTCAAAATTTAAGAAGAAGGAAAAAAATGTTGCGAACGTTCTTTGTACGCGCACATAAAAGTAGAAGATAAAAACATGCAGTAAAAAGACACGCTCAAGATCGCATTGCATTGCTCACGAAACAAACAACTCGAATTTTAAGCTTGTTACCAGTTTGCACTATTTGCATGAAAATCATTTCTTAATATTTGGCTTGGTTTTTTTCTCCTATCTTTCTCTTTGCATGTCTCCCACTCTTCCTTTTTCCATCATATCCTTCTGCGTAACCAGTAATAAAATTAAAAGTTTAAAATCATGTTCAGTATTTTTCCACTGTGTAAACTCAACGCAGTTGAATTTAATTAACCAAAGAGTGAGATGGTGAGTGAGAGAGGGGGACATCAAGTGCGCATGAAATGAGAAGGCGAGAAAGAAACTCGAGCGAAAATTGTTGGATAGTCATTGAAATATGCCATGCTGGTACAAAGTAGGGTATTTCCAACTTCAAAATGATCTTAATTCAGTGAGCACGTAGTTTTTTTGCTCATCATCTTTTCCTCTCTTTTTTTTCCAACAAGCTCAACCGAACTATTTTAATCCGCATGCTGTTTGGTTGGAAAAACACAGTTTTATCTGCCATTTCCCGTTGAATTAAAGATAATGTTGCGACAATAGGAATGGAAACGAGAACAAAAACTCACTTTGTAGTATTGAGAGCAAAAAAAAACTGCTGCAATTTTTCCCATTCATTGTTTTTATGCGCTAATTTTTACCTTTCAACACACGCTATTTTTGGGGTAGAAAAAAATTCTCGCTTTCATTACACTACCGATTTGCAAACATATTATGTGCTGGAAAAACTAACAAACAAATGTTTTCACAAATGTAAAAATTGCATAAAATCGTCTTTTTTCAAATTTGCCACAATGAATTTTGAAATTTCATCACTTGTGCTAGAGAATTTTAACATATTTTCAGTAGACTGCTTTTATTTGGTATTTTTGTGCCAAACGAAACAATTTATACCCGTTCGAACAATTGGCGCCTTTTGAAAGGCGCACGCACCATTTCTGCGCCTTTTAATGAAATGACGAGAAAAAGAATAAGCAACACATCGTATGACTCGTATTTCATTCGATTTTTCTTATGCTAAAATGCTAAGACCATACTTCTTCTTCGTTTGAATCTCCATTGTGCTGCGAAGATCCGCACAAAGAGGAACAAAAAATACCAAAAATGTAACGAATCTGCGCCTACTATGCTGTTTTTCGTACACGCTGTTTATATACGAATCATACGATGTGCTCGTTTATCCTTTTTCTCGTCATTTCATTAAAAGGCGCAGAAATGGTGCGTGCGCCTTTCAAAAGGCGCCGATTGTTCGAACGGGTAGTGATTATTATTTGTTTGTTTGTTTTTTTCTTCAGTAATACAAATATTTTCAATTAAAAAACAACAAATGCTTCATCGACAAGCTTGAACAAAATTTATAGCGATAATCAAGAAAAATTAATTAATATTTCCACACGTTTTCCAACGTTAGTGGTTATTTTTAGTGCACATGGCAAAAACCCTTTGAGTGATTCATTTCACTAACTAAAATCACAAATTTTAAGCTTTTCTCTTATGATGCAGTTATAGATGCATATTTTAACAAAGATGTGGAAATTTCAATGAAAGCGAAACCAAACATTTTCAATGGAAAAATATCGCATATTATTATATTAATTATGAAACGGCAAATTCTACGAATGTTCAGACAACGAAGTGATAGTTAATATTTAACGCATTCCACATAACATCGAAATGTATTCTATTAAGTGGCCAAATATTTTGAATATAATATAGTACCATCGAAAGAAGCTGCGTAAAACATTATAGAAGATTCTAAGCTTTTTTGTTGTCAACAAAGAACCTTGTACACTGAGTGAGACGTCTATAACTCAAATGTGGATTTCAATGCGAGTGAGAGAGGCAAACACATAATATACAAACTTCTTTGCATGCTATGCCCTTAGAAGATATGCGATCAATGTAGTACGTGATCACGTCTTGATGTATAAAGTCAATGAATGTGTATTTGACGGTAAGCATCAAAATATATAACATGTAACCATATGCTAGAAACTTCTATCATTGAGATGTTTTGAATTTCTCGCCCGAAATTATTTGTCGTTACTGTTGTTTATGAATGGGGAAAAAACCGCAATAATTCGTTGTCTAACTTTTGTTCACAATATACGAACAAAGTTCGATGCGATGCCAAGCGCGTGTACCACGAGTAATTTGTTGTGTTTTTGAGAATGCTTGCTAATTTTAAGTTGTTTGCAAGTTTGTTACAGTCAGGCCTCACCTGAGGTGCATTTGTAATACAAAGTTAACCATACAAAATATTCGAGTGTAATTCATCAATAATGCATTTTCATATGGCAATTTTGTACATGGCAACGACGATGTTACCGTTTGCGGTTAAGCGGCACAACCACAACATTCCTGTTCCGGTAAATATGGCGCAATAATAAAGTTGTAAAGAAAGTGTGGCTAAAGAAGAAAAATTAGATGCACACATAGAATACCAATGCGAAAGCAGCAATTTCCGGGTGCTGAAAGAAAGTTGATGGTAGTTGTTGTTGTTGACTTGCATTTCAACGAAATAATTCCATATTTTCCGGTTTCATTTAAGTGTACGCACACTCATACAGCACAAAGCAATAACTGCCACCGAACATTCCATACTGAATAACTTATAAAGGTTGCTGTTATATTGCATTTTACAGTCTGTCGCCAAGGCACTAATTCATGTAATGAGATATGATTGCCACGTAACTATATTTTTGTGTGTTGTTCAGTTTTTTCATTTTTTCTCTGTGCATTGCTGATTTTTTTTCTTTTTCCTTTGAAAATCTTCTTTAGTCATTTATTTCATCTTGTATCGCGTATAAAATACTTATCCTTATGCAGTACAGTGCATCGCTGAAGCACTTCATTTATATGCTCAGCTGCAATGAGCTTATTACTATTGTTGCAATATGGATGAAACATGATGTGAAAAGCGTTGCGAAATAAATTTGTATGCTGGAAATGTGCTTCGTAGTATTCTTCATTCTCATTAATTTTAATCTTCGAATGTGTATGTGGTTGTGTGTGTGTGTTTTTCCATATGTGCAGAATGGAATACAGACGAATTTTAACTCAGTCTGTATTTATATAAAAGTAATGGACTTGTTACCGCATAACTTGATTCAATACCCCTTCATTTTAAATGTTTAATTTGATCAGATGAAATGTGTGTTGCGAATACAAAATACGATGGAAAATTGCCTTCGACCCCGATTTCTTGTCGTTTATATTCCGTATATTGGTCGATGGTATAAAAAAAGAAATCCATCCGATCCGATTTAAAATCAAGCGTGTTTTGCAATAAAATATCGAATGACACACATTTGCACCGAATGAACATTGAACAATTTCAAATATGACATGTCCGATGTCGGTGTCGCGTTCCTCGATGCTTTTACTTCGATAATGATGAAGTGTCTATTACGTCAATGAATTTAGGATGGGGGTGAGCAATGAAAAAAAGACGAATTCTGCGACAAATGATGCTAAGTGAATGTGATATGTCTGTTTGTGGTTTGAAATTATCGAGAAGCAAGAGAAATGTTTAAAGAATGTTCAGAAAAATAGACACAGAGCCATTCTGATGAAATGCTTGCATCTTTGTGGCAGCAATCCGCTATACACACTGCGGCTTGTGAAAGATAAATAAACGCATATCCATAGCATTTTACGTCTTTTTCTTCGTCTTTCTATCACGATCTCCTTGGACGAGTGAAAACCACATCAACTAGGGAGAGAGGGACAGATGGTTGAACATGAAGATAAATAAAATAATATTATTTAAAGTTTGTTTTCGCAGCTTTTTTTCAACTCTGTTATTCGCTTGCTATTGCATAGTTTTGATGTCACGTTATACTATTTGTGCTCGTTTCGCATTTCAACCAATGATACTGAGACGAACAAGAGGGTCTTCTCTCTCTTTATCAGAATTCATTTCATGAGCTTTTTCGACAAATATCGATTTCATCAAATATAGAATAATTTCCGATACGCAGAAATGAAAATCATAAGGGAATTTTTTCAAATAAAATAATTTCAAATATTTTCGATTTCAAACCGGAAGTTAATCTAATCGATTTTATCGTCATAATCAAAATGTTTTCTCAAACATAAACTATTTTACTTCTCATTTTGTATTACTCTCTCTGACAGAGAGTGTCTATCTACGCGACGCTTGTGTTTGAACCATACATTTTTGCCCATTGAAACACGACCCGAAGCCAATAGAATTCCGATTTCATGGAGTGCGTGGTTGAATTTTTATTCGTTTTTCATGGCATTTTCAGAGTTTGCATCGACCACGTTTACTTCAAACTAAATCACTATTTCATTTTTTATTTATTCGATTTCTTTTGCGAGTGCTTTTATTTGTTCTTTTGAAGACTTCGGCAAACGTTCATGCAATTACTTCCGAGCGGGACGAAAAAAAGGATTGCCAGCAATTCAAAAAAGCGCACACAGAAAGAATGTGAGAGTGTGTGTGTGTGAGAGAGAGAGAGAGCTATTGGTAGATAGCAAAAAGAAAGTAATAGAGTTGAACGAGGGAAATTGCTAAGGCGAACTCTATAACATTGGTATTTTCTTATTATTTTGTGCTTATTTGGTTTCCGTGCACGTTATGCACATTTGGCATATGATGATGCGCCAATCGAGCGTTGTTGAGCACATGAAATGAAGGAATGCATTTGTGTGCATTGCAAAACTATACGCAATTACATCATAACAAGGTTTAAAACTAAGTCAACTTGAAATGCTCCATTTCAATGTGCAAGCCTTTTTCTCAACTGGATCATGAATTTCTTGACTCGTTTTCCTTTCTAACTCTTTACAAATGCTCCACTTTCCTAGTTCCACATTAAAAACGATTCGATTTTGTTTGCATTTTCCATACGGAATTGCCATCAAATATGGCAATAAATACATATATATAGATTCTCGCAAAGTGGTTTTTGTTTTTATGTAAACAAGCTCTTTTTTTTTCCTGCACAGAAATAAGATGCACTTTCTTCATAATCAGAATAGAGAAACTACCTCATATTCGATGAGATATGACTATTAGTTTTAATGGGAAAACTTTTCTATATTTTCAATATATTTTATTTCCTTTTTATTTTGAAGTGAAAATAACTTTGACTTTTCTCAACAGGATTCCTTGTATTTTTGCAATTATTCGCATCGCATACACTCTCTAGCTCTTTTTTGCTTATTCGCCTTTTCGGAAAAATAATCATATTTGAAGCGTTTAATATGAAGTGTGTTTGTGTTGTGAATTGTTTGAAAAAGTAAATTCATAATTACGATCATCGTGTTCGCATGTGTTTGTCACGCGTACTATTTTGAATTGCTCTTTCATTGCAGCAAATGGCTCATATGATATAATTCAAACACCCTTTAGCTTCTTCATATCAAATTGAACATTCCAACATGCACGCATCACATTCAATTTTACTCTCTCTCGCTCTCGTTCTCTCTCTCTATGCTTGTTGAAAGAGGAAGCGAGCTTTGAAACAGAGAACGAAGAGAACAAGCGACAAAATTAAAATGAGCACAGCAATGTCACGAATGAATGAATAAGATGATGATGATGATGATGGTAAAACTATTTTCATTTTACTAGAAAAAGTAATTAAAAATCCTATTTCTGTTTTCAACTTTGCGTAAATATGAGTCTGATGAAATTGAGATTAAGTGCATCACTTAGTCTCGGTTCGGTCGCAATTTTATTTTTTTATTCACATTTCCGAGTTTGAGTTTACAACAGGCATGTTAAAATTAATGAAAATTTCTTAACCCTTTTTATGGTCCGCATTAAGCTTATTTTGCCGGCTAATATATTCAAAGCAAAAAACTTTGTGCAGCTCCAAAAATGCATGTCAAAAAATAATATTTGTTTTCTTTTTATGAACCCGTTTTTTTCTAAAGCATTTCATTCGATGGCAACCATAACATGCAAACGAATAATTAAATCGAATATCAAGCATAGACAATTTATGCAAATCGACATGAGTAGATATTAATTAAAACACCTTCAAACCTCGACACGGTCAATTAAGTATGTTGATTGGCAAGTAATTGAATTTATTTCAACTATTCCATTCGTTCAAAATTGCCGAGCAGGCGAGTTTTGATTGTGATTGTAACGGTTGTCTCCTTCCAAAAGAGTCATTCGTTCAACCACTTTAACGCTTCATTTGTCGAAATAATCACCTGAGGCACGTTCGTCTTTCGATCACCTTTCACACCTACATTTACAATTGTCGTTTTATCCGATGTAAAACAAATGTGATCGTGAACTATTAGGCCACGCTCTTCCCCACGATGGACCCTAATTTTATGTTCTTGTTCATGTTGTTGAACATTATTAAATCTGCTTTAATCATAATGATTTTTCTCTCGCATCGCAGACGATTGCCAAGCAATCAAATGTTATTATCACAATTTGTCTGCCAAGTGGTCGCCGCGGCGAATGTGTGAATAAAAGAATCCATTCAACTGTCTATGGTGTTGATGAGAGATATTATAAGGTCGATTTCAATGGACCGTTTTGTTGTGCGTACGCGTATATGAAAAAAAGAATTTCCCAGTCGTGAGTGCATTATAACATTTGATGGTGGAAAACGGTAGTGAGCCGAGCATAGCTTATTATCACACTTTCATAATGTGCCAGTCGTGCATTAATTAATTTAGCAGAAAACATGCGTTGCGATCCGGCTTTTAATGTGTACCTGTAGAAATTGATTTGATTCACAACGCATCAGTTCAAAGTACAGTACACACATCAAACGGTGGCGAACGAGAGCTTGAGAGTGAGCACAATGGCACATACGTTGGGTTAGATACATGACCGCACACACATGCACATTGTAAATCCAGTGAAGCTATAGAGGCAACGGTGGCATACCTCGAACTCTCGTTTTATTCGACTGATAATTACTTTCCCTCTCGTCATTCCCATATTTTATACATAGATATATATGTTTTCCTACTCAATTTTATCGCAATTTATTTATGTTGCTGATGTTGCTCATTGGTGACCACTTTCACGTGGGTGTATGTGTGTGTTTTTGCGTACATATTTCTGCGAAGTCAACGATTTGACTAAATAGGAGCTAATGTATCAACATGAATTGGTGAAAAAACCCGCAGACATGTTTCGAAAACCAATTTTGTTTAATCAGTGTAGCTGATTATCGAAGGTGGTCTTTTCAGTGCTGCCGTTGGCTGATGATGTCACGTGGACATTTTCGAAATAATGATGCATAAATATTTTAACGAAGGTGCGAAACATTAATGAATTTCATCATTGTCTCCAACAACTCACACCAGTTACAAGGACTATTTTTGGCTGAAATCATAACTGCATCTGGGCATATGAAATTGTTGCACATTCAGCCGAGAAGAAAAAAGAATATTGATGTTAACTAAATCTTAAAATAGTCCTTGCTTCACTTCAACAATTTCGCTCTATTTTTATTATATGAATTTAATCAGCAAACTTGTCAAACAAACAGTCCATTCATTTTATCGTAATCAATCTCATGTTTGTGCACCACAGCAAAAAGCATGAATTTGATTTGATCACATAGCGTAAATTGTGGTTTGTCGTCTGCCAATTTGTGAAAAACCAGTCAAACACAAAATATATATAATACTTTAATCGTTATTATTTAAATATAATTCCAATAGAGAATACCGGAGCTCTACCTCCCTCACTCAGTTTAACAATCCCTGGTAAGAATACTAAAAATTTTCATTAAAAATTAATTCTGCCCATAATCAATGCCGATTGATCCATTGTTTCATCAAAATGAATGGAATTCATTGGAAAAAAGTCCATATTATCCGTTTATAGTGCGGAATCGGATTTAAATGCCGTCAAAAAGCCAGATTTTAAAGTATTCGAAAAGCATTGTTTTTTTTTTGAATGGATAAAACAACAACAACAAAAAATAACAATCCCCAAACATCTATCTATCGACTTAAATCAAAGCAGAGAGTTGAATTTACAACTTTTCAAAAAAGGCATTAATTCAATAAAATAAACAATAATAAAAATAAAAATAAATCAATTAATTAATATGAATTCGACTTACTTGATAGTTTTATCGTTTTGAAATTCATTAATATGCTGTAGAAAAAGAGCGCCCATCCGATTTTGTATTTCCTCTTCATGGCGACTGTGTGTATGTGTATTTATCCCAGGCAGATGTTTGACCAAATAAGTATGTTTTTGTATTGTGTGCGCGGTTCGGCGCGGTTTGTGTGTTTATTCGTATCGTTAAATACGTATTTATCTCTTAATTGTTGTTACGGATGAAGTACCCAAACACTTATTCAAAATGTTGTTTTTTCAGTGTTGTCTGCAATTAAAATAAATTCAATTTATTTACGAATATATTTCATTCGGTTATCATTTGCGAGCACATTGTTTGAGAATTCAATGCACAGTCATTGTTGGTTTTTTTTGTTGTTTGTTTTTAAACTTTACTTTCACTGTCTGCTCCGGGGTTTTTGCTCTATTATATTTGCACAATGATAACAATAATACTATTCGCATATGATTTTTTTCGTTTGTGTATCTGCTGCGGTTTTCATGTGTATTTCAATATAATTTTCAGTGGATTTTTTTTTTCGTGTGGCACAATTACACATTAAACACTACAATGTACAATGATCACTTTAGAAGAACCTTTTTTCTCTCTCTCATATTGTATTACGAATGAATAAATTGGCAGTTACATCAGCAGTGGCCATTGTAAAATCGAAAAGGTTCGGTTTTTCTGCTTTTATTTTCTTGTGCTGATTTATTTTAATCGTCTTTATTGTTCTATAAATTGTTTTTTTTTTCTTTTGCGCATTAAATTGTCAGGTTTTTGTGCAGCATAAAAATGTCAATTTTTAAAATATTTCCATCAAATATGATGTTTTTGAATTGTAGAGAGTATCGTTAAATTGACCTCAATTTTACATTAAAATTAATAAAAGCTCACAATATAATCATATTTTTAATCTTATTTCTCATTCACTACGATTTAATTTGATTTTGCTTTGTGTATGAGTGCCAAAAGTTTGACATTTATCTACTGTCTCTTTTTAGCTTCCGATGTTTTTGAATTTATATGGCACTATATGAGTATATGTGTCCCTTGTGGGCCTTTCGATGGTGAGTCAATTGTTGTGCCTCGTATCGCACAACAGCAGAATCAAAAATTATTCTCAATGACAAAACTAAACGAAGTTAGTATGCTCTTTTTGCGATGTAATATTGTTTGCCTTATGAAAATGCATGCATTACCCGATTCCGTTGGTTGAATGTTCTTTGATGTTTTATTGGACTTTTATCACTGCAACGACAAATTAAAGCAGAAATTCATATTCCTCTCATAATTTGTGTGTTTTGTCGTCGCATTCGTCGCTGATGCGTGGTCTGCATACACGGATACGATATCCAAATGCGCACTTGCACGCATATAACTCGATTGTGTTGTTTTGTTTATGCTTTTATTGTTCTTTTCTGACGATTGTCGTTGGCATATGACATGTTGATGCTTTGTGCGGTGCATGCATTCTCACGATACAACTAATTGTGTTAGCGTTAACAGTTTGCCACATGATGCTTCTGAACTGTGTATGTCGCCACCACCACCATCACCGCATGCAGTGATACACACTAGCTGCAATGTTATTGTTGAAGATTGTATTCGCAATGCAAAGTGGCTGCAACCAAATGATGTGGTTTTCAATTCTGAAACAAAAAGAGAGGGTAAATGAGTGAATGAGTGTATGCGTCTATTGTATTTTGTGTTGAATGGTGTTATTAACGAAATATGCTTGTCATTTTTTGCCCGATTTTCCCAAACGAATTGGTAAATTGAATTCAGTTTTTGGCAACAATGCAAAACGGCTAGCATTTTATGTAATTGAGTGCATCGACAATGTTTCGACACATTCTATTCAACGTTCTATTATTACCCATTTTAGATTCACACTTTGTATCTCTGTATTCAGTATCTGTATGATTTGGCATTGAAATACCTGAAATGTATGTATTAAACACGTTGAATTTACTCTATGATACACGCTCTTTGGCATTTTTGAAATTCATTTAGCCTTTATCAAACCATTTTTGGTTGTCTTTTCACATGAAGTGTTAACCTACATATCTAATTCATCATATAAACGATAAAGTGAAATTATGGTTGAAAATTCTCTCAATAACATATTTTAGCATTTCAACGCCTATATTTAGATCGTCTCACCTTTTGAATTTTCGTATTTTCTACTTTTTACTGTATATGAATATGTTGATCATCATAATTCTCTGAATAATAACGTAAAATGAAAGGAATTTTCATCTGAAGCTAAAGTTATTATCCCACTATATATAGGTAAGGGACTTTTTGGAATGCTATTTCAGTAACTCTTAAACTATCATTAATAGTTTTTAGCTGAAGCTTATTTTTTGGATTAAAGAAGAAGCTGTTAACATTCTCAGGTTTCTATAAATGGAATACATCCAATTAAGACTTTTCAGTGGAAAATGTTAAATTTGTTTTTGACATTTAATCTTTGTTTGGTTCGATATTACGTTTTTTTGCGCTTGACTTCATAAGTAAATAGCAATATAAATAGCATAAGTTGAAAATTCGCAGCATCACAAGAAGATTAGATGGATTATTCATTCTCTGTTTTGCTAAATCTGTAAGCACTCAACGGCAGATGATCTGCAATTGAGAAAGATTCGTGCAGGCTTCTTGATTTTGACTTTTGCTATCGCAAAGTTGATTCATGCTTCCGAAAATTGGAAACTGGAGACCCCTATAAATGTTCTTAAGTTTGTTCTTTAACTTATGATTGAAAACAAAACCAAAATCAAGCCTATCATCATTGTCTTTTGTCATTTGGTCTTTTATCACGGTCCATGATGTTTGCTTTGTGTGACGTTTCAAAAACAACTGAGACTTGATCATAGTTGCTGATTTGACAACTTACTACCAAGCTGCCCAATGCCAAACACTTTATTTTGATCTCTTATTTAGTTTTTTACTATTTTATTTAAAGATTGTTAGAAATGCTATTAAATACTATATTGATGACATTGCATAAGCTATTTTGTACATATTTATAATGATAAATTTGCGTAAAAAGAATTACAAAATAATTGGTCTGTGAAGAGACTCTGTTCACATGTTGACAATAAATTGCTAGCTAAGTAGAAAATACTGCAGAAGAGGTTTTGAATGGTTGAGATTAATAATGACTCACGCCGACATCGCCTCTTTTACCTACGCCTCTAGTAGCTACCCTGTAAGAGATAGTTGTAAAATGTCCTGGTATAGTTTGAGATTGATGCGTATAGGTAAAAGAGTCTGTTTCGGCGTGAATCATTATTATTCTCAACCATTTATTTGATGTCAACAATTTTAATTTTACAATCAGCTTAGATCTTATTTTTTTGTTTTAGTGTAGTGAACATTTGTAGCATAAAACTTCGCTAAGCTTTAATAATATGAGTGCTGTAGAGTTGTAGAGCAGCTTATTAGCGACAGAACGGGATAATGTCACATAAATTGCTTATTTATCAAGTGAAAAAACGAAGAGAAAATAGTGCTTGTGAACGAACGTATATTTTTCCACAACAATCCATATGGCTGCGACCAGTATGATAGAACTGTATATTCGGAGTGCAACGTTTATTGTTAATAAAAATATTTTCATGTCATTTTGGATGACGTTCTAAGATACAAATCTCTCTGGCTGTACAACACGAGAGCGAGAGACACTTACAAATATATATAGCGAATATTGTGTTTGTTTGAGATTGGATTACCGAGTGAGCTAACTCTGTGTTTATTGCTTGGGCATTATTGTTATCTTTTTAAACATATGTTTGAATCACAAAACCACATTTTGACAAGATAAAAAGGGAAATGCTTTTGTTATATTTCGGTTTTTTAGTCGTAAACATTTTAGCTGAGATACTTGAATCTCTATTTCAGTCTGAGCTTTTGCTTATATGCCTAGCATGTCATGTACTACCACTATGACTGTTCTTTCCGTTGCCAACACAATACTAATTCGTGCGTACTCATGCGAACACCGACCCATACATGCGACGAAAGAGTAGCAATTGTGACGATAATAGCATTGTATTTGCAGAAAACACACAAACAAAATGGGAAACACTACTAAATTCCAGAAATTTGTTGGTTCAGCACGTGGGCGAGAGTGGTGGCATTACCACACTTTGCTGTGTAACAAATTTTGATATGACATAGCTCGACTCGAGTGTGTGTATATTAGGTGCATTGTTGTGAAATGATTACTTGAAAACTTTTCATACGAAAATCGATTTTAAGATTTTTCTTTACAGCACACTACATATTTCGCCTCACATTGTCGTTTTCTCGAATGTCTCTATCTAATCACATATATCATATAACATGCATTATCTTGAGAATTCTATTACACTGCCAGTACAGTCTGTGTATGTGTTTGTGTGCAAAATTAAGTAGCGGATTTTATGTTTGAATGATCACGTGTGTTCGCACACATAGATTTTTAGATAGGATAAAAAGGTTGCGCTTAGATGCACAGCACATTTTATCCATATTAGCCATTCTCAACGAGATGATACACACACACAGTAACAAATGCGCTAGTCATGAGGACACATGTCAGGACACTCATGTGAAAGGAAGTACCAATTTGATAGAGGAAACTCTCTTTTTTATCTTAAATTGGCTACTGATATTGCTTGTACCTTCCGATTTCACATCGATGTGAATATAGAGAATTTCTCACAAACACTATAGAAATGTAAATCAATTGAAACATCGCAACCCATTCGATTTTTACCGTTCAAAAAAATGGTGACTGATTTTGTGCAGCGGATGTTTTGAATGGCTCAAGTGCAATCCATTGCAATATCGGACGATTCGCATTCGATTCTCTGTTTTGTTGATAAAACACATAAGCAGATTATGGATATTGAAAGTTCTCATTACTTGCACAGTTCCAATAATGCACTTATTTTCAATTCAATCATTCTCTTTGAAATCTCTATTTCTTCTTATGAGATGGACAAAAGTCCATCCCATTTTAATTCATTCTGTTTATTTGACCTCTGGTTTCTGCTTATAATCCGGTTAAAAATGAAAATCAGACTAAGTATGACATTTCAAAAGAACAAAAATAAAAAGCTAAATGCAAAGCGGGATCAATTTTCCTATCTTTTGTTTCAATGGAGAAAATGTGGAAATTTGAAAATCGGAAGATTCTTCGGAGAATTTAAACCTGAATTTAAAAAAAAACATAACCAATTTTTTTTGATTTTGAAAAGTGAATTCAAATATTTTATGAAGCCGTTCGGATGTTTGAAAATGAGCATCTATAATTCAAATAGATTCAGTTTGCAAGAAGATTTTCGGTAACTTTTGTGGTTTGACCGTTAACGAACGATTTTATAAACCACTTTTACCTGAATCATTTTCTATAACTTCTGTGCTTGACACATCCTCAGCATACGGCACAAGATCAACGTCACCGCAATGTTCGTTCTTCCTTCAAATTCTTTGGTGAAAAAGAAATGTCATCGTATGCATTATGTATTTGACTCACTTTGGTTTCGCATTATATCCATGAACTATGAATTTTTCATTGAGCTGTATGTCTATGACGAACACCACAAAATCTCGAGATTGAATCAAACCAAAATCGAATTTCTGCCATGATCGTTGAGTATTAAGTAGACATTGTATTGAGATATTTCCAGTCAGCCAGCGGAATCAGGGAGTGATTGTAGCAATGTAAGTGTTTTTATAACAATCACTTCTATTGTTTTCACTCATTCTCAGCGCCTGACGTTAGCTTCCTGAGTCTGAAAAAATCTCAATCTAATGTCTGGGATTGAACAAAAATAAAACATTCCTCAAAGTCTTCAAAGGCCTTACTACTGTACTTTTAGTTAAAAATTACTTGAAATATTTGCTCAAATTAATACCATCTAATTTAAAGATCATGAACTTAAAATACAATCTAATTGCATTCCATATACGCTTCCCAGCTCCAATCAACGAGCTTTTGAACATGATTATTCAGCCGAAGCAATTTTATCAAGCCAACAAAGGTTTGGACGAATTGCAGTGAAGTGAATTTAAGTAGAAAATACAATGGACCATTTTGCAAAAGTATTTTCAAATGCATTCAATTGTGGATTATATATATGCAAAAGATGTTAAGTGGAGAGAAAACTAGACAACGTATGCAAAGACGTATAATAAAGTGCCTTTAAAGCTTTAGTTCGAAAAGATTAGATATGTTTTTCTCTTTCTCTTTTTGACCAAACTCTGACTTTCATTACTTTCGACATGGATACCACATTTTTGAAAAGCACTTGGCATATCCGCATCATAGGATGGGCAACTTTGAACATTCTAACAAAAATGATTGGACCATAGACGTATTCTTCTGTTCGGTATTGACAAGAAAATGATGGTACTCATTGTGAGAGTTTCAGATTGGTAAACTTAATCAATTAAATTCGGAGTGTAATATCGCCTCAAGTCTACCAAGTAAATTTATGTTGATGATAAATTTTCAATGCTTAACAGACTGGGAAAACTTCAATCTCAAATTTCAAATGCGATGGCATAGCGCATATAATTGTATGCTGTTCGGCTTGTCGGTTGTGTGGTGATATGGGCATTATATATGTGTGTTACTGTGTTTGCGTGTGTTATCGAC